CCCTCTACCCCACTAGAACAGGGGGACCATCAGAGTGGGCACTCACAATGCTCATCCTTACCCAAGAAGGCTGGCCCAGGGAAGGGACTGCAACAGAACAGAGCCTAAAACGGGGATGGGGCGGATTATTTAAAGTTTCATTATTGGGTGGCACAGCCCAGCCACGGGGCCTGATGCAGACACTATTTCCCTTTTTCGCCAAGGTAGCTTTCATTCTGAGAAGCCCTTTCTGGCCCTTTTTGGGGCTAACTACTGACACCTGGACCAGGGAGGAAGCTGACTTCCTGTCAGAGGTAATATGTCCCAGGATGGGGTAGCCTGGAGGGACCATAGTGTGAGAAGGGTTAGGGACCTTAGAGTCATTTAGTCTAAACCACTCTTTTCACAAGTGGGGAAACTGAGGCCTAGAGAGGTGATTTGTCTAAGGTCACACAGGTAATAAATGGCAGACTCTGGGATTTCGTGGGGTTTTTTTTGGTTTTTGTTGGGCAATGGGGGTTAAGTGACTTGCCCAGAGTCACACAGCTAGTAAGTTGTACGTGTCCAAGGCCAAATTTGAACTTGGGTTCTCCTGAATCCAGGACTGGTACTCTATCCACTGTGCCACCTAGCTGCCCCCCAGACTCTGGGATTTGAACTCAGGTCTCCTGAGTCCAAATTCTAGGACTCCACAGCACTACCTGGACATCTCCAGCTATGCCATCTCTACCCCTTCCCCAGTGGAAAACTAGACCCTGCTCCTAGAACCTCCCTAGGCTTGCTCAGTTTCAGGACTTTGCAAGGCATCACTAGTGTGTGGCCATTGTCCATGCATGGGTCTCGCCAGCCCTCATTTTCCTGTGCTCCTTTATATGTTGTTTTCTTTAAAATGTAATCTTTTTTTCAGTTTATCTCTGAGTTTATTTCAGCGAAATTTTTATTTTATTTTTAATCTTTAATTAATTTATTTTGAATTATCAACAATCACTTCCATAAGCTTTTGAGTTTTAAATTTTTCTCCCCCTCCCTCCTCCCCTTCCTCGCCAAGATGGCACACAATCTGATATAGGCTTTACATATACGTTCCTATTAAACATATTTTCACACTAGTGACGCTGTAAGGAAGAATTAGAACCAATAGGAGGAACCACCAGAAAGAGGAAACAAAACACAACAGAAGAAAAAAATAGCAAACTATGCTTTGATATGCATTCAGACTCCATAGTTTTGTTTCTTTGGATGTGGATAGCATTTTCCATCATGAGGCCTTTGGAGATGTCTTAGATCCTTACATTGCTGAGAAGGGTTAAGTCTATCAAAGTTAGTCATCACATAGTGTGGCTGTTACTGTGTACTATGTTCTCCTGGTTCTGCTCAAAAAAATGTAATCTATTTGATGGCAGTGGCTGGCTAGCAGGCTTTTCTTTATAAGCCTAGTGCTTAGCAGAGTGCTGGACACAGAGCAACTTCTTAATAAATGCTCTACCTATCCATCATGCTACAAGGCTTCCCCTCAACTATGGCAGCTCTTCTTGTTTGCCCTGAATTACGGAGGGAACCATCACTGGCTTAAATCCCTGCACACTCTGTCCAGGAGCCCAGCAGGCAGGACGAACACAGGCCCACCCTGACCAGAAAGCGGATGGTTTGAGGCTCTGATGGACAAAGAAGGGTGGACCTACGCTTTCAGAAGCACCAAACTCAGTGATGCCCCCAAAAGGCGGCACATCCATGAAACAAACTGAAAAATGACGAGCCTTCTCCGGCACTCGGCTGGGGCCTTCTCAACCCTGCTCCCAGCCCTCACCGACGACACTGACTGGCATGTGGCAGGTGTAACCTAGAAACTGTAAGGGCGGTCGCCCTTTTCTGCTTGTTCAAATTTTTAAAGTTTATTTTTAAAATTTAAATGCTTTTGGGGTTTTATTATTATTTATTTTTATTTAAGAATTTTTTGGGGTGGTTACCTTTATAACAATACTCAGAAAGCCAAACTGGTAGACATAGGAAATTCAGAGACACATCAGAAGGGTTCCTCTGTTGGGAAAGGGAAGGGGTTACAGATCACTGGAGCTGGCCATCAAGCCCATACTTCTCATTTTTACGGAGGAAGAAAGCGAAGCCAAGAGAGGACACAGGATTATAGGCTCAGAGTTGGGAGAGACCTCACAATATTAACAGTTAAGGAAACTGAGGCAAGGTCAAGTAACTTGCCCAGAATCACAAAACTAGCAAGTGTCAGAGGTGGAATTTGAACCCAGGTCTTGTCTTTCTCTGAGGCCAGTCCTATAGCTAGAACACCAAATGTACACAGAATCATCCATGAGAAAAGGAAAAACACTCTCTGCATCTTCTGCTTTGGTATGCCCCAAAGTATTTTCACATCCGCTCTCAGATCTCATCCTCCCCATCCCAAAGAAGGGAGAACACTGAAGATCCACCACGCAGAAAATAACGGTGACGCCTGACCTTCCTGCAAGCAGGGCCTTTCTGCTATCTCACCTGACCCACACAATGACCCTGGGAGGAAGACAGCACAAACCGTTATCATTGTTGTTCAGTTGCTTTCCAGTCATGTCCAACTCTTCATAAATCCATTTTTGTTGTTGTTTTTTTTTAGATAGGCATTGGGGTTAAATGACTTGCCCAGGGTCACACAGCTAGTAAGTGTTATGTGCCTGAGGCCACATTTGAACTCAGGTCCTCCTGAATCCAGGGCCGGTGCTGTATCCACTGCGCCACCTAGCTGCCCTATAAAATACCATTATCCCCACTTTAAAGATGAGTCAACTGAGGCTCAGATAGGTGAGGGAGGCACCTAAGGTTACAGAGCTGTTAATGTCAGCTCTGGAACTTGAACCCCATTCTCCTGACTCCCTTCTCTCTCTCCGTCACCCCCATATCCACTTGGTTGCCAAGCATTGCTGCTCCCACCTTCACAACACGTCATGCAGCCGTGGCTTGTCTGCGCTCCTACGGCCACCGACCGAGTCCAGGTCCTCATTGCCTTTCAGACCAGAAGCCTCCTAGCCGGTCTCCCTGTCCAATTCACCTCTGACACAGCCGTCAAAGCAATATTCCTAACTGATCTGACCACGCTGCTCCTTTGTTCAAGAAATTCCTGTGGCTCCCAACTGCTCTTTAGATAAAACACTAGGTCCCTTGGTTGGCATTTTAAAACCTTTCCAGGCTTTGTTGAACATCATCATTCCCACCCCGCCCCCAGGCTCTACCATCCAGCCAGGTCAACTTCCTTGTTGCTTCCCACACCCAACATTCCATCTCTTGGCTTTTGCAGTCGCACCCAGCCTGGAAAGGCTTCTCTCCTCACCTCTCCTTTTCAGAATCTTTAGTTTCCTTCAAAGCATAGCCCAGGTGGTATTTGCCTCAGAGGCCTTTCCTGAGCCCACTGGCTGCTGGTGCCCATGCCTAAAAGGAAAACACTTTGGACCTGGATCAATGTGATGAGCAACCGTGACTACAGCGGACCTGAGAGGAAACACTGCCCATCTCCTGACAGAGGGGCCCAGGATGCAGAGTGAGAGCCGCATTCTTGGCCCTGGCCAATGAAGGAATCTCTTTGGCTTGACTATGCACATTTATGACCAGAGTTTTGTTTTTCCCTCCAATGAGAGAGGACAAGGGGAGAAAAATGCTTGCTGACTGAAAAAATTTAAAATGCAAATAAAAATAAAGGGAAATACTTTATATCTATCTTATATTTACTTATGTACATTCATGGTGTTTAGAGTGTAAGCTCTCTGAGGGCAGAGAATGTTTCCTTTTTGTCTCTGGATCCCCAGAGCCTGGCATAGTGACTGGCTCATAGTATGTGCTTAATGATTGTTTAGTGAATGAATGATTGCCCCCAGGACTGTTTTTGCTTTTTTTCTTTTTTGTATCTCAAGTGATTACCATAGTGCCTGGTCATCCCTCCTTCCTTCCTTCCTTCCTTCCTTCCTTCCTTCCTTCCTTCCTTCCTTCCTTCCTTCCTTCCTTCCTTCCCTCCCTTCTTCCTTTCCTTTCTTCCTCACTCCCTCCTTTTCCTTCTTTGTCTTCTCCCTTCCTTCTTTCCTTCCTTCCTTCCTTCCTTCCTTCCTTCCTTCCTTCCTTCCTTCCTTCCTTCCTTCCTTCCTTCCTTCCTTCCTTCCTTCCTTCCTTCCTTCCTTCATTTCTTTCCTCCCTCTCTCCCTCACACTCCACACCCATATTTTGGTATTAGATGGGGGAGCCTGGTTAGTAGAGGCTGTGCCCAGCTTGAGGTGCCTGGTAGGGGGCAAGGTGATGAAGTTGAAAGAGTGCTAGTTTGGAATCAGAGGACCTGGATTCAAATTCTGCCTCTACACCGTATCATCCATGTGACCTTGGGCAAGTCACTGAATCACTCTGTGCCTCAGTTTCCTTCTCTGTAAAATGGTAGGTTGGACTAAACTGCCTCTGAGGTCCCACCCAGCTTTGGAGCTCTGATTTCTGTGCTCTATAAGAACTTCCCGTCAATCAATCAACACTTATTAAACACCTACTGTATGTCAGGCAGTGTCCCAGGCAATGGGAACATAAAGACAAAAATGAAACTATCCCTACCCTCAAGGATCTTGCAATCCAACTTTTCCCCTTTTACATCCTAGGGGAAGGACAAGGGAAAGAGGCGAGAGAAGTACTGGGCAAACGAGGAGGAGGAATAGCTGAGGATTCGAGGCCTGGCCTCTGCAGCCCCTGGGCCCCCACACCCCTAATGCCTCCATCCCAGAAAGGCATCTTAGTCGAGGCTTCCCAAATGTCCTTTTCAGAAGCTCAACAAAGCCCTTTATAAAAAATTCTCCCCATTTCACAGACAGACAAAGTGAATCTCAGAGGTGCCAGGGCCTGATCCGTAGGAATGGGGCCCAGATTAGGACCTACATTCTTTGACTTGGCTCGTCATGAATGAGACAGCGTGGTACAATGCAAAGAGCCTCAGGAGGCCCTGCCTTCTGCCCTCCTGCTCTCCCCTCCACCTCTATCCCTCCCACAGCCCTCACCTTTAACACAAAAGTGTTGTCTTTGTCTGGCATCTCCAGGGGCATGGTGGTCCGGACCTCGATGATTGCAGAGAGAGGGATGCTCACCTTGGGTTTGGAGGCCTGAGAAAGGACACAGGAAGTTACTGATGATGGAGACATCAACCATTGGGCTGCTGGGCGCACAGACACACAGCCATACAGACACACACACAGACACACAGACATACAGACACATACACAGACATACAAACACAGACACACACACAGACATACAAACACAGACACGCACACACACAGACACACACACACACACACACACACACACAAACACACACACCCCCTCTATCCTGTACTCACATCTCCCTACACCTTACAAACTTTGCTCAGAGCTACCTGGCTTCTAGGGATCCATCCTAGGCCAATTCCCACATGGCTTCAGCCATTGCAATCACTCCCACCTCCATTACCCTCTCTCCAATTTTCATACACCTTGTTACTCTGAACACACAGACCTATAGGATTCAGAGCTCCCTGAGGGCAGGGGCTGTGATTAAATCCCACTCAGGTCAGAGGCTTCCTGCAGAAGGGCTGTGTCTCAACGGAGGGTTCCTTGAGGTCAGTGGCTGTTTCTCACTAGACCGGAGGCTCCCTGAGGGCAGGGACTTCCAATTTTCAGAGCACCCAGCCCAAGGCTGTCCATGTTCTTATTCAAACCATATAGGTCAGGCCTCAAGCCATCAGCTGCCACAATTCTAATGGAAAGACTTGGGGGAGAAAGAGAGACCAGAACACTCCTAATTTCCCCTGTGTCCCCAATAACTACAGTCTTTTAATTAAACGGAACAGGGCCCCAATGGAAGACGTTAAAGTTAATGTCTTTTGTTCTACATCCAGAGCCCTGCTCTGCCTCTGGAGTCCTGCTTGCTTCCTTCAAACACATCTCTGGCAGGGGTTGGCCAATGCACGGAAGTCTGGGTCCGGGCCCCCAGGTCTAGCAGCCCCTCTGCTATACCACTGGTCACCTTCTCCACCCATTGGACATTCTGGCTGGGAATCCCAGGCAGAGGTGACAGAGGGAGCTGGCCTTCCCAGAAGGCTTTGTAGCCGGTGGGCAGGCAGGGCGGGTGGGAATTGGAAGCAGCTGTGGACGCCATCCACCAATAAAGATGACCCAAGGTAGACTCTGGGGACCTCTTTTAGGAGAGCCTGAAACCCTAGACACTTGGTTTTCCAGGGAGGGGACTACCCTTCCCCTCCCCTCCTCTGGCAGAGTGTCACCTTAATCTGACGCTATCTGAGGCACGGATTGTGATGACGGAACGAGGGTGACCAAGTTCCCAAACTGAGGCTCAGCAAGGCCTGGAGTCCACCTGAGGGCCACCAGGCAGTCCACAAGAATATATTGAGCACCTACCACACGCCAGGCACACTGCTACGTGCTGGAGGGATAAGGACGAAAGCAAAGCAGACCCTGCCGTCTGAACAGTGGAAGGAGCATGCACGCATAGGCGTGTGTATAAGAAACAGAAAACAGAAGGCCACCTGGGGGGTGGGGAGGAGGCTCCAACACACAGTTAGACTGTCACTCCCCCTGGCCTTCCTCACCCCCCTCCGACTTCTGTCTCTAGGACAACCCAGCTTTGGTCCTCTCCAGGAAAGTCCTAGGCTCCTCTGACTGGCCAGAGGGAGCTGGAGAATGCTCCTTTCTAAAGAGAAGTTCACAAAGGCCAAATGGAACATAGGCACAGATGGTTGTGAGCCCCTTTCCCCTCCCCGTCTCCCATCCTCCATCTCCCCACTGAATCAAGAAGGTGCACGCGCACACGCGCGCGCACACACACACACACACACACACACGCGCACACACACACTCGCACACACCCATGCCAGCTATCTACTGCTTGAGATCTGAGCACTTATAGTGTATAAGGATACAGTGGGACAAAGGGCAGTGACGGTGTCTTGAAAGGAAGGACCATGGGACCATACAGAACTCTGGAGAGAGGGAGCCTGGGGGCCAACTAGTCCTAGGGTCCATGGGCAGATTTCAGGGGATCCATAAACTTCAACAGGAAAAAATGCCATCTGTCTTTTCACTAACTTCTAAATGCATCGAGCATTTCCTTCAATTATGACAATTACGAGGCAACCAATCGGATTCTGAGTAGGGGTTTGCCAGACGCTGCCAAAGGGACCCAGGACCCAGGACAAGCCGAGCCCCTGTTCTGCTCCAGCATCCTCTCTTCACAGGCACAGAGAGTAAATGACTTGCCTGCATTACACGAGTAGGGAGCACCAGATGAGAAATTAGAACCCAGGACTTTCCCATACAGAAGATGAGCATTGGTATCAAGGGCCTCCAGCATTCACCTTGTGATTCTCTCCCCCACAGGCAGGAACAGCTAACTCTCTGATTCCAGATCTAATTTAGGAAAAAGGGAGGCCTTTCCTCTCAGGTGACAGAGGTTGAGTGCCTCTTTGTCCCCAGCCAGCTGCCTCCTTGGGTTTGACCCATTTCTTTGAGTCAGGGATTGCTCTGGGGTTCACTTTTGGGGAGGGTTCAGTTGCTCAGGGATTTGTCTCATGGAGTTAGGGGAGGCAGGCAGAAAACAGCTGTGCTTCTTGGGGGACGTAGGACCCAGTTACAAGAACGAACCACAAAGATGAAGCCCCTTGACCACTGGGTGGTGTGGACCTCCTGGTCATTTCCCCCCAGTCTGTATCATTAAATGAGGTAATATTGTAAAAAGTGCTTAGCATCGAGCCCAGTATAGAGGAGGTGGTATAGAAATGCTTATTCCCTTCTTCCTCTCTCCTCCACCACCACAAGAAGACACCTCTGCAAATACTGTTTCTTTGGGAGAGAGAGAAAACATATGTAAGGCCAATACCTGGTTCCACTGGGAAGGGGGCAGAGAAGGTATCTGAAGAGCACCGTCCAAGGGGCCAAATGCTGTCTTGCTGGCCTCAGAAACCTGGGCTAAAATCCTGCTTTACCTATTTACTACCATTGGAACCGTGGTCAAATGACTTAAACTTTCAGGGCCCCATTTCCTTCTCTGTAAGATAATGGGGTTGGACTAGATGGACTTGGACAAGTCACTAAACCTTTTAGGGACTCAATTTCCTTATCTGTAAAACAAGAGGCTGGCCCCTCATTGGCCCCTGAAGTCCCTTCTGACTTGATAGGCGGCAGCAGCAAGTCCTCCCCTCTACAGGCGCTACCGGCCAGAGGCCAAGATTAAACACTTAAAGTGTGAAGTGGTGGATTCTGTCCTTTGGCTGAGAGGAGGTGTCATGGGAAGGGACCAGGAAAAGAATCAAGGGGCTTGGTTCTAGTTCCATTCAGTGACCAATAGGCTGTGTGACCCTGGGCCAGTCACCAACCCTTTCTGGGCTCCACTTTCTATGGATGGGAAATGAGATGGTGGAACCCGAGATCCCACCACACTCTGACATTTGAAGGATCAAAGGATCATTGAAATGGAAAGCGAATCATGAGGGCGGGGCAGGACAGTCTTACACCTCAACTCCAGTTACTTTGAGACAGTGGGAGGCTGGGTGAGAAAGGCCAACCAAGTCTACTGCCATGGCTGTTCTCAATGCTGGCTTGGCTGGGCTCTGCTGCTGGGGAGCCTGCAAAGATATCTTTGGCTCTTGGGGAGCCTGCCTCTGGCTGAGGAGCTGGGCACAGTTTTCCTCGTCTTGTGCATTTGCTCCCTCATCCAGTGAGCCTTCCCCGACTGCCTGGCCCACTGCCTGAACCTCTCTAACCCTATCTCCATACTTTACTCCACCATACAAACCCTCTTCTCTTGTCAAACTATTCTTCTTATTCTCTCTCCTCACCCAGCAGTGCCCTCCTAAACCCTCCAAACACACCAGGGTTTGCTTTCCCATTGCCAGGTCTTTGCTCACAATCCTCTGTCTGACTAAAGTATCTTCCCTCCTCCTCTCCTTTGTCCAAGTCCTACTCTGGTCTCTTGGCCAGGCTGTAGCCCTAGCCCTCTGTGATACCCTCCCTGACCGCCCCAGAGTAGGGGCAACAAGAGGTAACAAAATCCTCTTTTCTGACTTCCCATCCCCAAATGCCCTTGGACATTTAATAGATACAGTAATAATAGTTAACCTTCACACAGTGCTTTTGCAAAGCACTCTGTCTTCATTATTTAAGTATGATCCTCACAACAACCTTATGAGATAGGCATCATTATTCCCATTTTGCAGATGAAGAAACTAAGACCGAGAGAGATCACATGACCTACCCAGGGTCACAGAGCTGCTAAGTAACTCAAGGCAGATGGGAACCGAACCCAGGTCTTCCTGATGCCCAGCTCAACACTCTCCCCATTACCTCACCTGGCTGCCTTATTTAGCGCCCACTTGTGATCATGTTATTTCCCCCTAGACAGAAGGTAAGCTCCTTGAAGGCAGGAACACTTATTTTAGTCTATTTACCATTAGCACCTAGGACAGTGCTTGGCACATATCTGGTAGGCAAGGGATCACAGGATCACAGATTTTAAGCTAAGACCTCAAAGGTCATTAAGTCCAACCCCCTTCATTTGACAGCCAAGGAAACTGAGGCGCTAAGTGACTTGCCCACAGTCACTCCGGGGGTAGAGCCAGGATTTGTCTTCTAACTCCCAATCAGTCTTCCTTCCCACTGCCTGGCACTGCCCTAAGTGAGTGAGCATTTGGATATTTCTCTCGTGTTATTATTTTTTAATTTCAGACTCTGGTATTGTTAAACTTTTCAATGTACAAATCTTGTCTCTCTAAACTAGACTACAAGCTTCTTGAAGGCAGGGACTGGCTAGTATGAGGCATTAAGCACACAGTAGGGCACTCGATAGATATTTTGATTAATGCATAAGATGATCACCAAGTAGCAGTTTGGTTTCATAATAACAAAGATCACAGCTTACAAAACGAAACCAACATTGTCTCCTCCAAGGTAGTCAGCATGAAGGGATATATACTTACTCCCTTTCTGCTGCTGCTCAGATGCCGGTGAAATTCCTCTCTGAGAATTTTGGGCAGAGCCAAGACATGCCTACGATATATTCACATCTACTATGCATCTAGCATCTCACATAAGGTGTATGAAAGTCCGGAGCTAGAAGAGGAATATGGTTATTAAATGTGAATCATGAGCTGGCACCAACAGATCTTGGTCCAATCAGGCCTCCCGAGGGCCCACGTAATCTGGTGGGAAAAGGGCTGACTAGATGCAGAAGACTCGTGCTCATTTCCCTCCGCTACATCCTATCTCTTTCTTGGGTGACTGTGGGCAAGTCACTCCATACCTCCCTAAGCCTCAGTTTCCTCCTTGGTAAAATGAGGGGGTGGACGAGATGGCCTTCCAGCTCTAGAAATATGGCCCTATAAGCCCACTTAAAATAAAAGATTTAAAGCTGGAAGGAACCTTGGAGACCATCTCATCAGACCCCTCATTTTACAGAGGAGGAAACTGAAGCTGAAGGAGGCATGAAGTGACTTGCCTGTGGTCATACAGCAACTAAGTGGCAAAGGCGGGAGATGAAGCCTAGTCCTCTGACTTCTAACTTTAAAAGACGCCAACCACGAACACATATTTCTGGGGTATAAATGCCTCCAAGGGTGAGGTCCTATTCAGCAAAGGGAGGGACTGGAAGAGGAAAAGAACCAGCTTCTGCCTGCAGGGACGCCACAGTAGGATAGGGAGACAAGATACAAATGTTCCCCTCACAACACCAGTGTGTGGTAGAGTAGTATAAATGTCCCCCATTTTACAGAGGAACCTACAGAGTGCCAAAGGTTAAATGACTTATCTAGGGTCACCTAGCTAGGAAGGGTTACAGCCACACTGCCCACTCAGGTGTCCTGATGCCCGGTTCTTAATGAGCTGAGCACGTGCTGAGGGGCTGTTCCATGGTCTCGCCACCACACCCGCACAGCTGGGACTCCAGCCCTCGCTCTGCCTGGGAGGCTGCATCCTCTCACCCCGGTCTTCTTGTTTTGTTTTTGTTTTTGTTTTTTCTTTTTGGTTAGGCAATGGGATTAAGTGACTTGCCCAGGGTCACACAGCTAGTGTTATGTGTCTGAAGCCGTATTTGAACTCAGGTCCTCCTGAATCCAGGGCCAGTCCTCTATTCACTGCGCTACCTAGCTGCCCCCTCCTGCTCTTCTCGTTCCAGAGAACAGAGGCTAGGAAGATGAGAAGGACTGAACAGAGAGCAATCTTGTTTGACAACACCTGGCATTCCCGGCTGTGACAAGAGGCCCCGCTTGCCTTCACAGGCGGCCCCAGTCGGATCAATGCCGACCATCCTTCCTGGGTCTGCTCACCCAGAACGCCTGCTCGCCTGCCTCCCCCTCCTCTCTCCTCTCCATCATGCCTTTCTTTTTAGTCTCGGTCCATAACGGCCCTCCTTGCCTGAGCCCACCCCATGCCAATCACTCCCCCTCAGCTTCTCCTATGTCCTCATGCACCCATTTCTCAGAACCACGCCTCATCATGTGAAGTCTTGTCTCCCTGCCCTGACTGTGGGATCCCTGCAGGCAGAAGCTTTTTCTTCTCCATCTCCTGTCCCCGTAGCATGTTTAACAAAGGCCTGTGAACTCTATGGATGGACGGTGATTCCTAAACCGCCTTAGTGAGTTTTTAAAAATGAGTATTACTGTTCCCTCCTCATGCCACCTCTTTCGCAGATGGGCCTGCCTGGTAGTGCCTGGCCCTGGGACCTGGCCCTTTCTATGTACCTAGTGCGGCCTGGGGAAAGGGGTGAGAGAACATTATGCTGGGGGGTGTGGCAGAGGAAGCCAGAAAGAATTTGTTTATTCATTCACTCCTTCAGCCACTCATTCATTCAGTCATTCATTCATTAAGCCATTCTTTCCTTCATTCAGTCATTCCTTCCAACATTCCGTCCCTCCCTCCATCCCTTCCTCCCTTCCTTTCCTCCCCCCCTTCCTTTCTTCCTTCTTTCCTCCCTCCCTCCCTCCCTCCCTCCTTCTTTTTTTCCTTCTGTCATTCTTCTGCCACTTAGCCATTCAGTCAACAAGAGAGAGGCACATTCCGGTAGAGCCAAGAACAGCGGCCTGGGAGTGAAGACCCCAGGGTGCTAAAGGCCCAGTTCTGTCCCTGACACTGTGTGGCACTGGGCAGGTCAGATCTCTCTCTGGGCCCCCTTCCATCTCTAAAGCTTTTGCCTCTCTTCGCTAAGGAGCTTCTGTCTGCACAGCCTTGTTCTGGGTGCCTGGTGGATATCAAACCCCTCCAAGCCCTCCTTGGGATCGACCATGAACATAGGAAGGTCCCAGATCCAGAGTTAGAAGGGGCCTCAGAGACCACCATGATGCTCATTCTTCACCAGGCTGCTATTTCTAAGCACACAATTCTGTTTCACAGAGTCGGGGAGGAGAAGGACCTTGTGTCCAAAGAGGGCCAAGCCCTACAGCTCTCAGTCCCTGTCCCCAGCCCTCCTGACCCACCTGGGACCCTTCTCCTTCCCTACCCCATTCAATCCCTTGGCATGGTTGGACACCAGCCCCTCCTGGCTCCAGAGCTCGAAGGAACCAAAGACACCATTGAGTCCATGCCCTTCCCTTTACAGCTGAGGAAAATGGCCCCCAGGGAGTTTACTTATCCAGGGTCCTAGAGGTGGTGGAGCTAAGATTCAAACCCAGGTTCTTCGTCTCAAAGATTTAAAGCCAGAAGGGACCTTAGAGACATGTACTTCAACCCTGTTATTTATACAAGATAAAAATGAGACTCAGACAGAGGAAGTCATTTGTCCAAGGCCGCAAGCATCTGAGGCGGATCTAGGCCTTGAGCTGGGATTGGAACTCGGCACTTTCAGACAGCGTTCGCAATCAGAGCCCTCCCCAGCCTGATCATCCTCTCCCCCCGAAGCTGCCCCCTCACCTTGGGGGGGACGTAGAATTCTAACAAGAACCTCTCGCCCTCCACCTTCACAGCCTTCCGGAGCATCAGCCGGCACTTCTGCCACTGGGAGCCGCCCACGCAGCTGGAGTCATCGGCCACCATGTAGCGCAGCGTCCCCTCTCGCTGGATGTCTGCCAATTCCACCTTGGAGGCTGGGCCCCGGGAGAGCCTCAGCCGGTGGGCCCACTTCTCCCGGGGCTCTGCCGGAGGCTCTCCCCCTCGAAGCCCCGACGGTTGGCCTGCCTCAGGCTCAGGGGATGCCCTCCGGTGCCACATCTCCTTCACGCCATCCACCACACACAGGCTCATGTTACGCAACGAGAAGCCCTTCTTGAATCGCGGTTTGGCCGCGGCACTGAAAGACACGTCCTCTGAGCTTCGGGAGTGGCCGTAGGAAGAGACCTTGTGGGCCTGAGCCTGCTGGGCCTGGCTCAGGTATCGGGTGGGGGCCACCCCGGCCACAGGGTCCATGCTGTCGAGGGACTCGGTTGAGGTCTCCTCTCTACAGGGCAGCGGCCCTCGGGCATTGGGCATGTGGCAGGGCTGGAGCCCCACGAAGGGGACGATGTTGTACTTGGTGGGCGAGTCAGAGACGAAGACCCGGCTCACCTCGACGCTGAAGACGTCCAGAAAGTTGGCAGCGAAGTGGTGGGAGAAGGAGGCCTCGGCTCCCGGAGTGTCGTACTGCGGGTTCTCCCGGAGGAACCGACAGAATTTCTGGGCAAAGTCCACGGCAGCCGCCTGGGCGTGCAGCTCACAGAACTCCCGCCAGTCGGGGACCTGGGAGGAGGTGTCCTGACAAGGGGCATCACCATTCATGGCTCACATTCCATTCCAACTTCCGGACAGCTGTCAGGGCAAGAAGGAAGCAAGTTAGGGGGCCTGGCACACAGTAGGCACTAAGTAGATGCTTATTCCCTCCACTACTCCCCTTAGGTGCTAAGGAATTAGGGCAGGGGAGGGAGAGAGCATGCAGGGAAGAGGACAGCCAGGAATAGCACATCTAGATGCCCAGACCTCCTTGGCACACTTAGATAGCAATCCCTCCTGATGGTTCTGGACCCCACGTCTTCCCTTCCCTTTTGACCCCCTTGCATTTCGGGACACCTGCCCTCCGGTGCATCAGAGGCTTGCTGAACCGGGGCTGAAAGGGCGTCAGTTCCAGGCCCCACATTTTTCAGATGAGAAAAGTGAAGCCTGGGAGGTGACTTGCCCAAGGTCACATGGGCAGTGAGTGGCAGATTCAAACTCCAGTCACCTTAGAAGACATTGGTCCAACCCATAGTTTCCAGATGAGGATGAGACCAAGAGAGAGAAAGGGTTTTGCCCAAGAGCACTGGACAGTCCTCAGACTGGTAGCGAGTGACTGAGGTTGGATTTGAACCCTGATCCTTGGGCTTGACATCTTTCTAGGCTGAGTCCAAATCCCATATTCTTTTTGCTACCTCCCCCCCTGGCCCCTTTAATACCCTGGCAGATCCTGGCACACTGGACCAGTTGGAGGCTGTCTTTTCTTCCCCAGCATGACTGTTCCGTGGCCCTTCTGGAAACTGAGCTTCTACCTCTTCCTCTTCCCCCAAGAATCCTGCCTCTGGTTATTAAGCAACTGAAGATGTTAAGGGCACCAGAGGTAGACTCAGGCCATCCCACCCCGCCTCCAAGCCTCGGGCCTTCCCAGGGGCACAGGGACAGCCCACTGCTCCCCATTCTCCTCCCAGTACTACAGAGACCTCCTCCTGATCGCCTGCCTTCCCAGCCCCTCCCTAGATGCATGCCTCCAAGAACAAACAAGCCACTAATAGATTCTTAGCACCCGCTCAGGCTGAGCTGGCAAGGCTGCTAAGTGCCTCTAGGCAGCACGGAACTAGTGCCCAGAGCCTTTCCTTTTCATCGCATGAAGCCTCCCCTTAAACTCACCCTCTTCCCTTGGCAGAGAAGGCTAGGGGCGGGGGAGGGAGGGGCTGGGCAGTCAGGGCTCATCCCGTCTCCCAAGGTGCCAGGACAGGCTTGCGGCAGTGCCTATCCGGCAGCCACCTCTGGGCAGCCAGGAGAGGGCCTCAATCTACCCAGTGTTTGGAGACATTGATCATCCTCTCTGTGGGGGACTGGGTGGTGCTGGGCTCCCTGGGACCAGAGAAAGAGAAGGATTCATTCTCTAAAGGGAAGATGTTATGCCCAAACACTCCAGGACGTCTGTGTCTGACAGGCTGCCCAAGGCCCTGGACACAGATGAGTGAAGGGGCCGGAGCAGATCTCTTCCAGTGCCAGCTTTAACCCTCGAGCTCTGGGGTGGGAGAAGCAGAGCTATGGGTCAGTCAGAGCCACCAAGGCATGGTGGGTAGTGAGGCCTCCCGACCTCAACGTCCACCAACATTCCCACCTCCAACCCCAAATTCCTGGGAAGGGGGCGAGCCAATTGCTAATCTGAGAGCAAAGGCGTCTGATGAGGCAGATTTGAAAGCTGTCTCTTGTATGAGTGACAACTGTTTAATTCAACAAAATACAAGACAGCCCCTACCCTCAAGGAGCTTACCTTTTAACGGGGAGATTCTATGTACTGGGGAGCAGTGTCCAGGAAGGGAATTTGGGGTGACTGGCTGAGATGTGAAGGAAGCAGGGTGTGGGCCTGGCTGACGCAGTGAGCTCTCTGAGTCCAGGTGCAGTCTGGAGGACCTGTTGCCTACTGGCCTTTGGCATGTGGGGGTGGGGGAGAGTTGTATGAACCTGAGTCCCCTGGATCCCAACTCCACAGCTCAGGAAGCTGTTCCTCTGTCCTCTGACCAGGGAACTGAAGGAGAGCTAAGGTGGTGCAGTGGGCAGAACACTGGGCTTGGCATCTGGAAGACTCATCTTCCTGGGTTCAAATGTGGCCTCTGACACTTCCTAGCTGTGTGACCCTGGACAAGTCACTTCACCCTGTCTGCCTCAGTCTCCACACCTGTAAAATGAGCTGGAGAAGGAAATAGCAAACCGCTCCAGTATCTTTGCCAAGAAAACCCCACAAACATCAGGAAGAATTGGATGCAACTCGCAACAAGAGTGACTATAGACCTGGCCACAGTTCTCAAAGCTACTCATAAAAGAGAAGATAGGGCAGGGTGAAGGGATGGCAACAGCTGAGCTCCTGATCAATCAATCAAGGAGCACATAGCTAAGTGCCTACTATGTGCCAGGCCCTGAGGGTGCAAAGGCCAAAAATGAGCCTGATCTCAAGGAGCTTTGTACCCCTCCTGCCGTCTGGGACAGCTAGGATTCAAAGGGATGATATTCGTAAAGTGCTTAGCTCAGTGCCTGGCACACAGTAGGTGCTACATAAATGCTTATTCCCTTCCCTCCCCTGTCGCTCCCCAATCTATCCCCTGAATGAGCCTGAGCAGAGCCCTCTGAGAGGAAAGCCACAAGCTCCCTCCATTCTTTGGCCCCACATCCTTCCTGCAAAGCCGAGCCAGGTCCAGAGGACACCATGTTCTCCCAGGGAGCTCTAAGTCCAACGAGTTAATTAAAAGCAGAGTGTAAAGAGCCAATTTTGTGGTGACTGAGCTGTCCTGTGATGGACCTGCTACTCCTAAGGCACTGAAAGTTATGTTTTAAATAATCAATTGCTATTGATTGGGTTTAAATCAGCACAAGCCAGACACACAGCTCCTGCTGGAAATGCGGCCACTCCCTAGAAGGAAAGGTGGGGGCCCCCGGCCTCTGTCCATCAGAGACCCTTGCAGATAGCTACAGGCCAGTACCCCACCACTAATGGCAGCAGGAGGCCAGCAGCCAGGGATATCTTTGGGATCTCCTGCAGACGAAGCCCCCTCAATGGGCAGGGGACTCTACGGACCACAAGCAGGTTGGTAAATTGTAGGCCTCTCACTGCAGGGCTCACCAAGCTGCTCTGGCGTCCCTTGGCCCTGTCCTGACGATGACATGAAGCCTTTCCTTCCCCAGCACGGGTAGAGCCCCGTGTAGAGGCTTCCTAGGTCTTTGTTCTGGGCAGCTGCCTGGTGGGTGGGGCTCTTTTCCTACAGACCTGGATAGATTCTTTTGACCCAAGGATGCATCCAGTCAATTCTAGAGACAACATTAAGGAGGAGGGTGGCCAAGGGTTGCATGGAGGAGGACAGTGGGAATCCCTCTCTCCATGGGACTGAGTTGAGTAATGGGAGATAAGGAAAGGTAGGTTGGGGCCAGATTTAAGAGAGTCTTGAATGTTAGATCCAGAAGGGGTATGATCTATGGGGTTCCAGGAAGATGAACTAGCAGCAGCAGCATCTTTCCTCATTCTGGAATGCTAGACTCCAGATTGTGACCTACTGAGCACCATGACGTGTCCCCCCCAACTCCTCCTCCTCAAAGGAGCCCAAGGTAGGAGCACCTCTAAGGTCACCCCCCAGGGATTCAACATCTAAGCTAGGAATAGAACCCAGGAGTCTTGACGTCCAGGCCTCTGCTGAAACCAGGCTCCTTGGGCCCAGCTCCCCGCTCCCCCACAAGCTCAAGTATGGGAGATCAGGTTGAGAACCACGTTGGCCTCACTTCCAAAGAAGGACCCATGGGAAGCAGGTGGCTTCTTGTCCAGGGGCCAGGGCACAGCCCTCAGCCTGACCTGGCGCCACTGTAACACCCCCACTGGGTGGAGGAGGAGCAGGGGGGTGAGGGCAGCTGCAGGCCACCCTGGCCAACGAGTCTGGAGCCAGCAGAAACCAGAGCCCCGGGGGGACAGGTGGTTAGAGCTGCCCCAGTCCCATGAGGCCTCCAATCCCCTGGGCTTGGGGCAGAGGGAAGAGGAGGAGGAGGAAAACAAGAAGAGAGGTGGGCAGTAGGCGGGGACGACAGCCCCAGTGGGAATTGCAAGGCTTTCCTCCTGCAGAATGTCCATTGCAGTGGTTCACAGCTCATACTCATCTGGCCCTGCCCCTGAAGTAGCTGGGCAAGACACAGGGCAAGGGAGGCTGGGAATACTCCATGGTGACCCAGCCTGGCCCCCTTGCTCCTCCCTCCCCTCTCCACCCCTCCCCAGGCTTCCCTTTCTCTTCTCCAGGCCCATTCATGCCCCTTCTCCCCTTTTCTGGACACACCCCTCCCTCTCTTTACTCCCAGACTCCTTCACCCTGAGTCCCCAGCCCAGGCCGCTGAGCTCTCTAGGGCCCCAGAAGTAAGGGGATGGGGGTGGGGAGGGGGTAGGAAAGTCTTCCACCAGACAGCGTTTGACTGGAGAGAGAGAGAAAATACACAAAGATATTGACTTCTAGCCAAGTCAATTGTTTCCACCAACAAAAGGCACCGAGCTGAGCGGAAGTCAGCAGAAAGTACCCAGCCCTCCATCATCTCTGACCCCCCCCCCCACTTTGGGAAAACCCTTATGCCAGAGGAAGCCTCTGCTAGGCTAGGCTTGTGCCCAGAAAATACCCAAGAATTACAGCCCTCTCTGCCCTTAATGGAGGCAGCGTCCCCATCCGTCCTCGGAGGTTTCCTCTGAGTTTACTAACTAGGGGAGAAAAGCAGTAGGTTGAGCCCCAAACACTTAAGTATGGAATGCATGGTCAAGGTCACCAGTAGAGGAAGTGAGCCTGCGGGCTTTGAGAGGGTGATGTGGATGTGGATAAGTCCATTTGTAGGGATGTCTAAATCCTAACAGAATCACAAATTTAGAGCTGGAAGGGACCATGAAGGTTCTCAAGTCCAGCCTGCACATTTTACAGGTGAGGAGACTGTGACCCAGAGAGATGAAATGATTTGTCCAGAGTCACACTAAGCATCTGATGTGGGATTGAACCTAAGTCTTCATAACTCCAAATCCAGCATTCTCTCCACTGCACCATCCTATCTCGTCACAGAAACAGCTCTGCTGAAAGTCA